TTTTCCCCCCCCCCCCCCCCCTTGCTTCAATTCTGTGAGGTGGTCCTATTCTACTAACACCTTTCTTCTTCAGCAGCAGGCCTAAATAGGATGTTCAGCTGGTTAGCTTCTGGGCTGCAGAGAGAGTCTCACACGGAACTGAAACCGAGAAACAAAAAAGAGTAAGAGATTCTGGGCCTTTTCTGGCTCATGTGTCATACTGTTACTTCATTGGGAGTTTGGCATCCCATTATCCGCCGGAGCCCCACTGCGTACGGCTTTTCAAAATGTAGTTTTTTTTTACTTTTTGCCGTCTTTGTCTAGTCTGGCCAAGGATCCCTGACAGCCATTGTTGGCCAAGACTCAAAACTTCAAAAGTCTCCTTACTATCTTCGCCTTCTTGTCGGGCCTCATGCTTCACATCTTGGGCTCAGTTCAGCAGCAGTTCACGGGCTTCTTCGCATTTTGGAACTCTCGACGTTATGGTGCCGTGTTTGTGAGTTTTTGAAGAACAGGGTTCGGTTTGTCTAGAAGAAGACTAGGATGATAGCCAAAAGCATATGCAATCAGCACAAAATTGCGAGAGGTTACAAAGGGTACAGGGTGTGTAGGTGTATGGAAGTGGAACTCAGATGATCGACGACTTGGCGAGAAGTGGTATGCACGTTATGGCTAGGATCAGAGATTTTCCGGATGTGTAGAAATATCCCGGTTTCTGAACTGGGCTAAGGTCCGGAGGATTAGCTGATCTTGGGAAGCAACTTATATCCATTTGTGGGTAGTGCATTACACCAGATCTGCGAGGAGGTTGGTGGCTTCGCATGGGTATGTTGTGAATCCTACGTTAGAACACTACTGGTACAACTGAATAGAATCCTTTGCATGTGTGCCCATGGATCGAAATGTGGCCAAATCTTTGGTGATTTGCCCAGTTCTCAGCGAAAAAATCAAATAAGAAACTATATGGGCCCATAGTGCAAACTTCCTTATAGTTTTACTAACTTTTACAGTGACAAGTCATTTTGTGGTCACCCTACAGGATTTGAACCTGTGACCTTCAACTTAGAAGGTTGTTGTTCTATCCAGCTGAGCTAAGAATGCAACTCACCCAAAGAGTCGACGCAGCCACAGATTCACAAATGGATTGCTTTATTTTTCTCTGTTTTTTTTATTTATGTTTAACCTCCAATCCTTTTCTTCGGAATATCGCACTAAGTTCAAAAGAAGCACGCTGAAGAAATTTGGTCCACAGGCAGCTCGAAGAGCGGTCGTTTTCGGGGATGCACAGAAGCACGCTGCCAGAAGGAAGAAAAGTGGTAAAGTCTGAACGGTCTGGATTATGAATTTAATGAAAAGAAAGCGAGGCACGTTAGCAAAATTTCCCAGTTTCGAAGTCGGATATTATATTATGAGAGCCTTAGATGCAAGATATACGCCGTGAGGCAGTTATATGGACGTAGATGATACGTCCAGGACAAAAAGAAACAGGCCAAAGAAAAGGGGGGGGGAAACACAAAAACACAAAAAACACTATAAAACCCTCACACAGAAACACTTTCCGAGTTAAAATGAAGCATTCAACGAATCCAACGAAATGACAACTTTTTCATTAATGATCCAAAGATTCCAAACATGTCAAAATTGGACACCTGACATACTTACCCTAAAGCACCTACATGTCACAAAAAAAGAAGAACAAGAAAAAAAGAAAAAAATCAGGGCAATATTACAGTTTCAGTGCAAAATTCGCGAAAAAAAAACAGCCCCGGTTAACCACGTGTGATTGTATGAGGCTTACCTTCGATCTGATCAGTTCTTGTCGGATTGCTGCGGTAGCGGAACAACAGCTACTGTTGAGTATGAGTGAGGAGTACTCACAGCTCAGTTTGCATAGAATAGGGAAATGGGATGCGAAGGGATGATTTGGCAATGCCTATGTATTGCCTAAAAACAAAGATTTGCCTTCATGGAGACCCATATGTCCCACTTGCTCTGAAGCTGGTAGATTGGCCTCTTCCAGGGTGGCAAAGGCTTTGAATGCCCTTCTTTTCGCTTGAAGTTGTGTAAACCAAAAATTAATTAACAAATATGATGCGAGACCTACTCCTTCCCATCCTAGAAACATTTGAATCAAGTTATCCCTGGTAACTAACATGAGCATAAAAAAAGTGGAAATACTAAAATAGATGAATAGCACATAAATTGAGGCAAAAAAGGATCCCCATATGAGATTGAATACACGAAGGGCCAGCAGCCTAGCTCAGTTGGTTGAACACGTATGTGGTATTCAGGAGGTTGTGGGTTCGATTCCCCATGCACGGCATCCATTCGGCTCCCCGCGGCCTCCTGCTGCACACTTCGGGCTCACCACCTGAGATAGACGGTTCGCCCCCCCTAGTAGGTCTTGACTCCCATGCTAGGGGTTAGATTCAACCCTGAGGGGATAGGCTCAACCGGGAAGGCTCAACCCTGAGGGCACAGGTAGGCGGGGATAGATCGGGAGGAAAGCGTCCCATAGGTAAAATAGTATTCAACTCATAACCCTAAGAATAGCTTGCTTCCCTTTAGTAGAATAAGGTGGTGTTGGCTCTGGATCAGTAAATTAGCTAGGCTACGTAGTGGGTTTGTGTGTGGTCGGAGAAGTGCAAGATAAGGTCATCCTAGATATGTGAGCGAATAATGTAGGGTAGGGTAGACAGGCAGCTGGTGCGAGGTTGATACAAGATTGAATACAGGAAGGCAGGCTCTCACCAAGTCTTTGTGATTTCTCGAGTGTTTTGTTGAGGGGTTTGGCTGTTTGCCAAACTGGCCAAAGGCCAGATTTTGATCGCTATTCCGGAGGTAGTATGGCCCTTGTTTGATGGGGGTGTTTCTGGTTCAATTTTCTGTTTAAGGTAGAGTCTCCGGCTGTTACATGCTGCGCCTGCACACAAGGGCCATTTTCCAGGCCCTGCGTCCTTCAGGCTAAAAGCCTGAATTTCAGGCCGAAAGCCTGAAATTTAGGGCCTACAGGCCCCGTGTCTGTTCAGCTCGTAAAGCTGGAAACAGGGGCCTACAGGCCCTGTGTCGTTTCAGACTGAAAATGGCATGAGCCTTTTTAGCCTGAAACTGAGGGCCATTTTCGGGCCCTCATCAGACCGACCTGCCCCGAAACTCAGGCACCAAACCAGGGTTTTAGGAACATGCTATTTTTGGCCTGTTCCCACGACAGCCTCAGCATTGAGCTGCAGCGCCAGACCCTGGCCTAGTTTGGCATTAGCAAGAGGTTGTAGGGACTTCCCATGCACTTCACGGGTAGGCAGGAGGCAGTCAGTAGTCTTCAGGATTCCGCAGCAGCACTCTGGAGGAGCGCTGCAGGAGTAGTAGTAGCGTTAGCATTAGTCTTCAGCGCTGGGCACTAGTAGCGTTAGGTGTAGTCTTCAGCGCTGGGCGCCATAGCTAGAGTAGTACTAGAGAGAGAGAGAGATTGGGCGGAGGCCAGGGGTACTTACCTGCAGCGCCGTTGCTCCAGCTTCGACTTCGAGGTACCTGCAGCACAGCGCCAACTTCACAGGTTAGTACCTGGCTCATGAGAGAGAGAGAGTTCTTCTTCTTCCTCTTCTCAGTCCCCCATCTCCTTCTCACCCTCTCACTATCTGACTTCACTGCATCAGCAGACTAAGAGAGAGAGAGAGAGAGAGAGAGAGAGAGAGAGAGAGAGAGAGAGAGAGAGAGAGAGCTTGGTGACATGGGATCCAGACTCGACATGGGACTTCAGACATTTTGAAGAGGGATTATTTGGGACATGTAACGAGACTCGGTGTTGACGACTTTCCCATCTCCCCCTTCCTCTTTCTTCGTCTGATCCCTTCCTCTTCATCTGTGTATGTCTGGACCTGGCTCCTCTTGCCTGTGTATAGCGCCAGGCCCCTTCACACTTTGTGATGAGCATGATGTATGTTTGGTCTGCGTTGAAACATTGATTGGGCTAGTCATTATTATTCTAGCATTCTGCTTCGCTACCTTGTACTACGTGAAAGAGGTCAGTCCCGGTCAGGTCAGGATTTGTATCTAAGTCTTCCCTGTGCTATTCAGCACCATTTTGTATGTATTGGAATGCACATTGCGTGTTGAGATTCTACTTGCACTGCATTGTCCATTCATTCCTTTTCATCACATTGCGGATCCTCGGTTATTATGTACATCGCCCATCTGGGCATGTAACACCGGCTGTGCTATATACTCGACTGCTGCAGCAACTTTCTCCTTTCGCGTCCCCTGCACCAGCGCCATCTGCAGTTGCTGCGTACGATTGCCTTAGGGGCGGCAGTGCGTTGGCTGGTGACTTCTATCATGCCAGGTACAACTGTGCGCTCTGAACCGCGGACGGTTTGAGTGGCATCTAAAGACTGGTTTGATACACTGGTGCTCCATTATGCCAGTGTCTTCGACAAGTCTGTGGGCTGGTATCAGAGGACGGCGAGGCGATTTGCCGCTGGTGGCTTTCATCGTGATGCACTGAGTGAACTGCAATGGTAGACGGGTTGTGTGGCTTCTAAGTCTCGTTCTACTCCTTTTGGATGACTGTGTAACACCAGATATGGTGATGAATGCGGGTATGGGAGATTATGCAGGGAGATTCCTACGATCAAAGGTAAGAGGTTTCAAGTTTCAACGATGGGGGAGTGGGATAGTATATCAAGGCACAAGGAATGGCCTCCTTCAACCAGCAATTGTTGAATGATATCAGGGAAGAATCCTCCTGATGACGCTACTTGGGGAATAGCAGAAACCGGTAGAGGAAGCACCGCTGGATTGGGAGAGGTGTCCGAGGGCGAGTCACTTGCTTGGCAATTATCTCTGAGCCTCTGAGGGGAATGATGTTGGACTTATGAGCATACCTGTGTGATGTTTTGGTCATCTTGCAAATGTTTGATTGATTGTGCGAGGAAGATGTGATGCTTATTAAAGAATGTTTATCTGAATATCTTCTGTCCTCGTTCTACGAGTCTAAGACTTTTTTTTCTTTTTTCCTTTTGTTTTTACAAACAATGCTCCATTCTATTCGTGGGGAGCAGCACGTGCTGAGAACCGGGCTCAGCATCCCTTATAAAAGCATTGAAACCAGTTCAAAGTGTGGGGCGATAACCCCAAAAAAATAGACATAGGGAGGCCCAATACCCCCGCCGCCCAAGACGGGCGCTGGAGGGGCGGGTCAAAGGGGCCTCTCGCATCCCCCCGCTAAGACTGATTCTTCCCAATCAGTTTTTCTTCTCTTGTCTTGTCGGGGTTCCTCCTTATGAGGTTGGGGGGGAGGGGGAGGAGGGCGGGGGGGGAGTACCTTGTACCCACTTGGATTTTCTTATTTTTCCTGCAAGGTATACTGCACTGCAGCTAGGCATAGGCATTTTTGAATATTATATTATTTTGCTTGTGCCTCGGGGGTTTGAATGAATTCCAAGTCCAAGGCCTTACGGTAACATATAGCTTGAATTTTGAAAATTTGATGCATAGTTCTGGTCGCTTCTTTTCTTCTTTTGATTTGCAAGTGGGTTTTCTATAACAGGAAGATTAGGGGCTTTGCAGGTTCTTGTTGAACTCGGCGGGAAGGTTTTGCAGAAGCTCGTCACTGCTCAGCAAGAGGACGAACGTATTCTCAGCATCATGGTAATATAATCCTAGTCTCCTAGACTATTTTCCTATTTCAGACTTTTATTTCTTTTTCTTTGAAATTCTTGTCTTGTTTTTTTTTATCATTATCTTACAGTTTACATAGAATCAGCAGAAGTTCATCATCATCATCATCATCATCATCGTCATCATCATCGTCATCATCATATGAGGGACGCTGAGCCCGGTTCTCAGCATGTTCGGTTCGGTCACTCCGGGTAGACTGTGAGGACCCCGGCCTCAGTCTTCTTATTGGTAATATCAGCCTTGGGCACTGGGCCCGTTTAAAAAAAAA